CCCACACACACACGTACACGTATACATATAAACATGCATAAATTTTACACATAAGAGCATATTAACAGCAACGTCTCTTTTCCATGAACATACTGTTTTCTCTTTCTATATACAGCTAAGTCAATAAACACCGCTTGCTATATTCCTATCCTGTGTGTTGGACTGGCAACCAATAAATCAATAATGGTTAGTATTCTTGACAGAGTGTTCACTGGATCGGAAGAAACTAAAAGAAATCGCAGTAATGAGACTGTTTTAGGCAGTTTTATATCAAATAGAGATTGTGTTCACTTTCAGAAAACTCGAAAGGCTGGGAAGAGACCTTGATAAAAGAACTATAATAACATTATATCATTTTTTTGTAATTAATTCATTCACTTGGAAAGGGCTCAATGCGCTTCACAATAGTACAAAATCATCGTTCTACTAGTATCCTTATTTTTCGGGCACACACACACACACACACACACACACATACACACACACACACACACAATGAGATTTTGAGGTTTCAAGAAACCACATTAGTCGTTTGTGTTGATTGTTTCCATATGTGTGCAGAAACAGCTCGTAAGTGCTATGAGACGGTTGTTTGATAGTTTGGTATAACCGGTTCCTAGTTTTGGGTTTGGTATAACTGTGACAAGACGCCAAGTGTGCAGAAAACTTCTACTATACCAAAGGTCATTATAACTAATAATTAAAAGTAATATGGTGGTTTTATTTAGGAGATGATTTATGATTTTTTTAAAGTGTTTGATCAGGGCCAGCCTGGAGCTGTGTTGGATAGTTCTCAAATGCTTTTTCTTAGTTCTTCAAGAGGGAAATTGCAATTATGGTTCGCTTCATTGAAAGAAGAAATCTCGATAGCCGTCTTTTCAAAAGGTTAAATGGGGTTGTAATTTCTAGTTGATGAATTTTCGGAAAAAGTGGAATCTTTAGAGTCAGCTACTGTTTTTCTCTGTTCCTGTAAACAAGTTGTTTGGTTGTAACATGTAGCATTATTAAATTCCGATAGATAGCGTAGATCAAGGGGCATTGCTTTTGACGGAGAGAATCAGAACGCACTGGCACACTTATCAATCCTTACGTAGTACTTGTAATAAGATAAGAATAAGAATAAGAATAAGAAAATTATAAATATGAAATGATAATGAATCAACAAAACATGACGTCACCTTTTAAAATGAATTTTGGCGCACTTTCATCAAAATAGCCCGTAATTAGACCGGGAATTTCTGACGCACCAGAAGAAACCATCATTGGACGCAGTCTGCTATCATTTTTTTTCTTCTGCTGTATATCCAATTCTAAGTAAGAAACCTATCAAAAGATTGTTCGTAAAACTTTAACTGACATTTCGGCAAAAGATCCTACTTCTATATACAGATTTATTCGTCTTTTTCTAAAACTGCAGCCTCCCCTTCAAGTCAGCAAAGAGATTAAGAACTTGAACAATGTGTGGGAGACTGTGTTGTCCGTAAGTGGTGTAAGAATTAAAAAGCGATAAGATCATGTCATAATTTAAAAGTAGAAGATGCAATCTACAAACGATGTAAAATCGCTACCTTAGAATTACAATAAATAGATCTACCTATCTGCTCAGTACCTAGATTCTAGATCTAGTTTTGAGAATTTTGAAGCATTAAAAAAATCGAGTTTCACAACATGTCAAGTTTTTTTCAAAAACAATTCTTTGAATGTAGATCTAGAAATCTAGTCTTGACAGCGATAACGACTCTGAATAATCTTAGATTTTTGAAAGACATAATTGAACACTTGGGTTCGGACCGTATGGTCTTAGCAGCAGAAAGCAGCCAAAAAATGTCAGATATGACTCTGTAATTCTGATGCAGCGAAATGTAAACCGATGCATAAATAAAATAAAATAAAAAGAAAGAAAAAACCGAAACTAATGAACAGCTTTAAAATTGACATTAAAAAACCCTCACTATTTCGCCATGACAACAAACACGGTCCCAGGTTCCGGTCATCGAACTCTGACAGTAAGACAGACCTCGAAGACGACCTGACCCGGATCCTGATCTTTGGCGTGACGGGCATGATAGGTAGCGCGGTAATGGAGGCGACTCTCAGCTGTGCCTGGTTCAAGATCACTGGCTTCACCAGGGCCAGGGACGGCGAGATCTTGGACGAGTTGGTCTCCAAAGGTGAGGGGATATTCTTTGTATCTTGCTTTGCTTTTATTTTCGTTTTAGCACCAAAGCTAGAGGGATGGCGAGATCTTGGATGAGTTGGTCTTCACAGGTGAGGGAAATATTGTACTTTATATTATGCTGAGAAGTGATTGCAGCTTGAGACTTACCACATGTGCTCTCTCTCTCTCTCTCTCTCTCTCTCTCTCTCTCTCTCTCTCTCTCTCTCAATCTCTCTCTCTCTCTCTCTGTCTTTGTCTCTGTCTATCTCTCTCTTTCTCTCTCTCGCTCTCTCTCGCTCTCTTTTTCTCTGTCTCTGTCTCTGTCTCTCTCTCTGTCTCTGTCTCTCTCTGTCTTTCTCTCTCTCTTTCTCTCTCTCTCTCTTTCTCTCTCTTTCTCTCTTTCTCTCTCTTTCTCTCTCTGTCTCTGTCTTTGTCTCTCTTTCTCTCTCTCTGTATCTCTCTCTCTCTGTCTCTCTCTCTCTCTCTCTCTCTCTCTCTCTCTCTCTCTCTCTCTCTCTTATATTCTTGCAACACAAACTACATGTAAATTCCTTACATGCATCAGAAAAAATGAAGCAGTTCTTCAAAGGAATAATTTTCTTGTTCTTAGAAAAATAAAAATAAAAATAAACAACTAACAACCTAAAAGTGAAACCTAACGCTGCATTTGGAACTTACTTGACCTGCTTTGTAGATCTGGAGGTTTCCATTTACCATTGGTTCACATATCTTTACCCTACAATGACATTGTTCTATCTGCCCAGTGCTTAGTTTTGAGACAGTATGTGACGTAAACATTTTTAAGTTTCACTTGTCAAACTTATTCGAGTGTAATTCTTTGAATACCTTTGTAACAACTCTGAATAATCTGACGATTTTTTATAGAGTTGATAGAACGTTTGGTAGACCTCAAGGTCCTATTAACTAAAAACGAACAAAAACGTCTTACAGACATTTTCTAACTCTGAGGTAGCTATATGGCTCGCCAGAACTAAATAGCAAAGACGTTTTTGACTAAATATTATTTATTTCTTTTTTTATGGGGTTAAGGCGTAGCTGGGGAGGAGGAGTGGGGTTGTGCGCTCAATGTTTACTATTTACCCACATAATTTTATCCCCAAGGAATCGACGTGATCTCTGGAGACATGAAGGATCCAAATTCTTTGCTTGTGGCGATGCAGGAGATCGATGTTATCTTTCTCACAACTCACTACTGGGAGACCATGAGTTCGGAGAATGAGTACATACAGGTGGGCGGGGCTTCTTTTGTCTTAAACGCTGGTTGGTTGATTTCAAGGTGTTGTTGTTGTTCTAGTTATTTTGATCGCGTGGTAGCGTGATGATTGATGTGCTTGAATGTTTGGTTAACTGATAGAAAGATAGATAGATAGATAGATAGATAGATAAATAGATCGATCGATCGATATATAGATAGATAGATAGATAGATAGATAGATAGATAACATACATACATACATACATACATACATACATACATACATACATACATACATACATACCAGGGCGAGTCAAAAAGTAATGCAAGTTCGCTTATAACTTAAAAGAAAAAAAAAACACACTTGCAACTATCATACCTCAAATTGAAGGGGAACATCTGAGGATCAGATTTTTATTTCTCAACACATTCCCAATTTCGTTCAATAGCCACTGTCCACCTTTTACTAAGTCCACATATGCCAGCTGTGTAAAACTGAGCAGGTTGGTAGTATGGGTACAGCAGTCGTGATTTCTCCATCGTTTCCTTAGTGTTGACCTCTGCATGGTTCTTTTCTAGGACCGAAAAGGTGGGAGTCTGAAGGAGCCAAATCAGGAGAATAAGTTGGGTGTGGCAGTGTTTTCTACATATACGGGGTGATGGTCTCCCTTGTTCTGGTACTCGAATGCAGGCGGGCATTGTCATGTGGAAAAAACACTTTTTCCATGTTCAAATTTGGTCTTACTCGTCGAATTCTCGCTTTCAGTCGTTATACTGTTTCAGTGTACGGTTCAGAATTGACAGTTGCTCCTCATCGTTAAAACAAAATCTGTGAAAAGCACACTAGGAACGTCCCAAAACTCAATTGCCATGATTTTTTCCGGCTGACTCCTCGGGACGATGCTTGTCTGACAAGCACATGGCCACCTCTTCCTCTTCTTATGGTTCATTGCTTACACGTCTGACCCATCTATATACAGTGATAAAATCTGGAGCTTGGTCCTTGTAAACATTCTGAAGTCTCTTTTGGATGTTATCAGTGGATTCTCCTTCTAAAACAAGAAATTCAATAACGCTCTTTACCTCTGACAGACCTCATAGGGGGTAGCCATTTTGATGTGACGTCATTCGGGCCAAAATTTAAGAAACTTGAATTTTAAAAGTTTGTGTTAAAAAGAATATAAGCAAGTACTCGTGAGCTAAATGTCATTAAATTTAATGCAAAATTGTACAAAATATCGAACAACTTGCATTACTTTTTGATTCACCCTCGCACATACATACATACATACATACATACATACATACATACATACATACATACATACATACATACATACATACATACATACATACATACATACATACATAA